GCGTCTCTCTAAGCGAGCGCTCTTTGGTTTCTCACAACATCTGCTCTCTTCCATGCACGAACTATCGTAGCCAGACGCAACGGCGACCAGTCTATGCGTATACTGAATCGAGTATATTTGATCGAATAACGAGAACGATAACTCTTCATCACCGAGTAAGCAATAAACATCTAGTGATCGGCATAGGCACATAAAGGGCGAGCACGCACGTATTCGCGCATCTTTCCCACTGAGAAATGACATAGTAACAACTCTGTAGAAAAAAGGGAAAATGAAAATTGCACACCCCTTTGGAAAAAAGAGAAAGAAAATGCAAGTGGACGGTGGTGAACAACTATCACAATTAGTTTCGAAGTCATATAAAACAGAAAGCTGGGAAGAGGATGGAAATGTGTACATACACATAAGATAACGTCTGTGGCAGACATTGAAAAGAACAAACATAGGGTAACACAGAAAGATAAAACCAATAAGTGCCAAATGATTTCAAAAATCATCACAGACGAATTGGGAGAACCCACAGAGCAGAACAGGAATGAGACAAATGCAGTGGCTTCAAAGTACGTAAGTATTGTCAGGAAAGACAGCTCTTCCACTTGGACGTGATTACGTACCACAAAAGCGCACTACAGCGATATGCGATAAATAAGCGAATTTGCAGCAAACACGTCAGAACAACACTAAAATAAGACAAAAGCCAACAATAACAAAAACTGCGACACAACAGAGAGAACTGGTCCATGGAGCGGAATTACTCAAGCGTGACAGCTAAGAGATCCGTGCCAAGGGTACACGAAAGAAGTGCGAGTTAAACCCCGGAAGGCGGTGGAGAGTAGATAAAGCTCCTACGGGTACGCTCGTAATAAATTACCGTACCTTATTACTAACAGGCCAACTAGTCGGAATGTCATTAGGATCGTCACGAGAATACTTTCATATTAGCGAAGCACTTCGCTTTGGCATGGACTGATAAACAGAAGTGTTGAGGAGGTTATCAAGTGAAAACTGTATCACAATCTTGTGTAGATGCGGAAGACGTTTACGGTATGACAACACCGTATGTTTTTGCTTTTTCTGCATTGTATTCCTTGAATTTCCAATGTTGGAACTTGTTCGAGGCATTGCACGGCTCCATTTTCAACTTCGCGCCATCTTTGGTCATTTCCAAACACTTTTGTGATACAGCATGGAATACTCTACCCGTCTAAACAATCGAACTTCATAGCATCGCAACGCAGTAAAGACAATGGTTTACCTCATGATTATACTGCCACTCTTGATTTCCTTTCATGCCGTGACATGGGAACACCATCACATCTTGCCCAGCGTAATCTACACAGGTTTCATCTCGTCGTATTTCCCCATCTTTTGACATCATCCAATACTGAAACTAATAGAGCTCCAAAGAGAAGTATGATGGGAACCTAACCACTTCCACTGGGATATATTCCAATTCGCCACTCCTGTACGGGTTGCTATGCAATATTAGCAGTTTACGCGGTCAATTCACTTCATTACACATCACTTCCTTCACTTACCTTCTTTACAGTTCACGAATCTATTTTTGATTTACCCACATGTATCATCGAGCATTTGCAGCTCAATATGCGTCATTTGAGCCTGATATGCGTATTGCATACCATGCGCGCTACTTGACGACTTTAAGATGAGAATTTCATTATTTCCACAGATGATTTCTCGTTTTCTTCTCTCTTTTGACTTGACTGGACATGTATTAGTTAGTAATCTCTTTTCTACTGTATGTTGCTAGAAAAAGATTTGCATCGTTTGCCGCATAGTATGTACTCACATATTGCATTATAAATGACTCAGGGAATAATTGAGTGATTTTGACAATTTCTCGATAATTTCTTAGAAGCTGGTGTTATATAAGGTAACACAACAGAGAATATATTTTCTTAGCCACGATAAGATCGTCCCGATCTAATGCTGATGGTGAGCGAATCAATAACACAAAATCTTTTCGCCAATTCAGGCTGGGT